CCGAGAAAACAACTGACCGCGTTGAAGAAGCCAGGTGTAGGAGCGAAGATAATTTAACGCTGTGGAAGCGACAGTTGAATCAAGTGAAGCTATTTGGACAGGGATGGGAACGCGGCAGACAACGCAAAGCCGGGCAGACAACGCTACAGTGGGCAGACGACGCAACGCCGGACAGACAATGCTACGCTCGGCAGACAACAAGATGCTAGGTATACAACGCGACGCCGGGCAGACAATGCTACGCTGGGCAGACAACACGACGCTGGGCAGACAACACGACGCCGGGCAGACAACACAACGCTGGGCAGAGAATGCTACGCTGGGCAGACAGTGCCACACCGAGCAGACAGTGCCACACCGAGCAGACAGTGCCACGCTGGGCAGACAACTCCACGCTGGGCAGATAACGCCAAGGTAGGCAAACAACACAGGGCAGACAACGCCAAACTTATTATTCAGCCTTGTACAAGACAATTCACTGCTGTACAGAAAGACAATTCGACTCTATCAAGTCTCCAATTCAACATTATGAAGACAGCTCCTCCAGTAACACGCGCTGAAGACAAACCAAAGTCTCAAAAAAAAATAATAATTCCAACCTGTGAAGAAGACAAAGCAGCGTTAATGAGAGAAACTTTGACGATGTAAGAAGCAAAAAAAAAAAAGACAACACGACTCTAAAATAGGACATGTTCATAACTATATGAAGATAAATTCAAGGCAGTGAGAATATATTTTTCCTCGAGTAGTATAATCTGAAATTCTTAACAATGAAATAAAGAATGGGTCGCGTTATTAGCGAGACTTACGCCATCCAAGAGACAAATTTCAAAATAAAACACGAAATTCATAAACAAATACAAAAATAAATACAAGAAAATAAAACAGATGAATGGTTTGGGCAGTTTAATGGGTCCTAGTTCCAATGGATTCCAGTTCTAATCGACCTCAATATTAATTGGTCCTGAATTCTAATGGTCGGATTAGGTTAGGTTTGATCCGCTGTTATGGCTCTTGGGAAGCTATGGTGGAGCGGTTCATTGTAGCTGTGGTTAAGGATTTGGGTATGTGTTGTGGGGTATGATGGTAGTGGTGGGTATGATGATGGTAGTGGTGGGTATGGTGGTAGTGGTGGATATGGTGGTAGTGGTGGGTATAATGGTGGTACTGGTAGGTATGATGATGGTAGTGGTGGGTATGATGATGGTAGTGGTGGGTATGATGGTGGTAGTGGTAGGTATGATGATGGTAGTGGTGGGTATGGTGGCAGGTGGGTGGTAGTGGTGGGTATGATGGTGGTAGTGGTGGTGATGATGGTAGTGGTAGGTATGGTGGTAGTGGTGGGTATGGTGGTAGTGGTGGGTATGGTGGTGGTGGTGGTGTGGTGGGTGATGGTAGTGGTGGGGTATGGTGGTAGTGGTAGGTATGATGATGGTAGTGTGTGGTTATGATGGTAGCGGTGGGTATGGTGGTGTGGTGGGTATGGTGGTAGTGGTGGGGTATGATGGTAGTGGTGAGTATGGTGGTAGTGGTGGGTATGGTGGTAGTGGTGGGTATGATGGTAGTGGTGGAGTATGGTGGTAGTGGTGGGGTATGGTGGTAGTGGTGGGTATGATGGTAGTGGTGGGTATGATGGTAGTGGTGGGGTATGGTGGTAGTGGTGGGGTATGGTGGTAGTGGTAGGTCTGATGTTGGTAGTGTGGTATTATAGTGGTGGTGTGGGTGGTGGTAGTGGTGGGTATGGTGGGTAGTGGTGGGTATGGTAGTGGTGGGTATGGTGGTGGTGGGTGATGGTAGTGGTGAGTATGGTAGTGGTGGGTGGTGGTAGTGGTGGATGGTGAGTATGGTAGTGGTGGGTATGGTGGTAGTGGTGGGTATGAGTGGTGGGTATGATGGTAGTGTGGGGGTATGGTGGTAGTGGTGGGGTATGGTGGTAGTGGTGGGTATGATGGTAGTGGTGGGTATGATGGTGGTGGGGGTATGGTGGTAGTGGTGGGTCTGATGTTGGTAGTGTGTGGTATAGTGGTGGGTATGGTGGTAGTGGTGGGTATGGTGGTAGTGGTGGGTATGATGGTAGTGGTGGGGTATGGTGGTAGTGGTAGGTCTGATGATGGTAGTGTGTGGTATGATGGTGGTGGTAGTGGTAGGTATGGTGGTAGTGGTATGATGATGGTAGTGGTGGGTATGATGATGATAGTGGTGGGTATGATGGTAGTGATAGGTATGATGGTAGTGGTGGGTAAGATGATAGTGGTGGGCTTGATGGTAGTGGTGGGTATGATGGTAATGGTAGGGTATGTCTTATGGTAGGTATGGTAGGGCGTGACTTATGGTAGCCACGGACTATATATACATATATACATACATACATAAGTGTAGTTTCCTTTCTTACGTCAATATGCATAACAAATAGGCCTATATAGACATAGGAGATTTACCTACTATATCGTTTACGGTTAATTGTACTCATCCCGTTAACCTCTTAGCAGCTAACACACTTTACCGTCACACTACACAAGCAGGCACCCGTCACACTACATAAGAATGCACCCGTCACACTATATTAGAATGCACCCGTCACACTATATTAGAATGCACCCGTCAAACTACACAAGCACCCGTCACACTACACAAGCATGCACCCGTCAAACTACACAAGAATGCACCCGTCACACTACACAACCACCCGTCACACTACAGAATCATGCACCCGTCACACTACACAAGCAAGCATCCATCACACTACACAATCAAGCATGCACCCGTCACACTACACAAGCATGCACCCGTCACACTACACAAGCATGCACCCGTCACACTACACAACCACCCGTCACACTACATAATCGAATGTCACACAACCACCCGTTATACATTTCAGTATCACACCAGTACCATCCGTCACAGTACATGATTCCCGTCACAGTCACCTGTTAAACCCGTCACACTGCTTTATAAACCCGTCACACTGCTTTATAAACCCGTCACACTGCTTTATAAACCCATCACACTACCTAATCACCCGTCACCAAATCACCTGCTACGGAATCGCCACGTCACTCCACAAAGGACACACACGTTACATTACACAATCACCAAGTAACATTGAATAAATACCCGTACTTGCCTCATTAACCTGGGACAGTGTGTGAGGGAGGAGGGAGGGAGGAGGACACCAGCATACTGTACACACACCTGGTTGGTTGTTAGTTTCAGGTGTGTATGGCTTATCATAAACAGGTATTTTGGACGCTTAGGTTAAAGAGGTCACACACACACACACACACACACACACACACACCCTCTCTCCTATACCCACCATCTTATTGCCCTGCCTTTATATTCTTATTTATTAATCCTTACCTGTTCCTACCTTCATTCCGTGGTTCGATAATCCCAGAAAAGACTTAGCGAAGATGGGAATAAAATTAATTAGATAAAGGTGGAAATTTCACCCAGCAAGACGAAGCGAAAACAGGGACAGACAGACAGACATAAAGACCGTCAAACAGACATAGAGTCAGTCGTACGAATGGCTAAACATACAGACACTTAATTGGACAGACGGAATAAAGATATGCAGTATACGGTGACGGACAAACACACACACACACAGACAACATAACGTGCAAGGTGAATCTGGATGTCAACCCGTATCTACATAAAACACCTGTAATTTAATATGTGCCTATATGAATTATATATATTCTGTAATTAAAACTGTAATGCATACATGTATCGGTCGCGATATGTACCTGAGAGAGAGAGAGAGAGAGAGAGAGAGAGAGAGGTGTGGACTACAGGTGTGAGGAGGAACAGATGGTGCACGGCTACCCCCCCCTCTTTAATTTGGCTCCGCTGTGTCCAGGAGGTGGGTGAGGGGTCTTGTATCTTTCGTCTGTTTACTCGATTGTTCATTATTTAATTCGTTCGTTCATCCATCAGTTGATTCATGTGTTCACCTGTTCGTTCGTGAATTCGTTCGTTCATCATCCTGTTTGTTTTACTCGTTCGTTCAATCGTTCACTACAGTATGTTTGTTAAAAGAGCAATTACCTTCCACCTGACAAAAAAATATATATCAAAATACCGAACTAACAGTATGACGGCCTTACAAATGGCTACTAACTTACTCAGTGACTCGGTTTATTATTTAGGCTCTGTCCAAGGGGAGACAGTTAATCGCTATTGACATTATAAATTAATTAAAATTATCGATACTGGTTAGATAAGACGTCATGCCTATACCTGTCCACCCCCCCCCCACACACAGTAACACAAGACACACTGAATGTTAATTTAAGGTAAGAGTGAGGTAACACATAACACTTAAATTTAACCGGAACTTATGTTGTCTTAACGAAATTGTGGCCATATTGAAGTATTGCGTATGGAGAGAGAGAGAGAGAGAGAGAGAGAGAGAGAGAGAGAGAGAGAGAGAGCAGGTTGGCGACCCCTCACTACCAAACGTACGATGTTTACACCCATAGACTGCAGAGATCGAGTATTACAGAACCCCATTTTAGCTACTTTGTCTTTCTTTTACATCGTATTTAAATGTGTTTCCTTTTTATAGACACAGACACAAGAGTCACAGCGGTAACTGGAGGTAATTGTGTGGGAGGTGAGGAGGCAGCTCCCTGGCCTCCCCTCACCCGGCGTAGTAACTGAACTTCCCCTCATCTTCACCTTCCTCACACCTTATGAACGGTCTTATTTACCTCACAGGTGTTAATTTTCGCCGTCGACAAGCGAGGACAACCATACATCACTGGGAGAACTGAGGGAAATTCATGGGAATGGTGAAGCAAGAGGAAGGCAGACCATAGTTTTGGCGCCATAGACCTAATGTATGGGCCTGGCTGCGCTGAGGGATGTTCGATGGAAGTGATTAAATTTAGGGCACATTAAACACTGTGGTCAGGGTGACACACGGTCCTATGACCTCCTACAACCACACAAAGGTCATGTCAATGAACGTAAGGGGGCGTAGTACTCACGTTAAGTGGAACATGTGTGGGCGCGGGCGGGCAGGAGAGGGCGTACGGCCCACGGCGATAAAGTCTCTACGGCTACTGGCTGCTGTGAAAGTCGGCCGTGGCGGAGGGTGTACCATCTAGCGGTGGTGGCAGGAATCAACTCTAGTGGCTGGTGGATCGATGGCCTGTGTGTGTGTGTCTCTCCACACGGGTGCTGCTGACTGAGCCCGGTGCAGCCACGCACCTCCGCCGCCACTCACTATACACAACTGACTCCTCACTCACATCCACTCACGCTACAAAAATTCAATTTCACGCAAGTGGCCGCGCGCGTTCTTCAGTCTTTGGGTGGAGGCGCGTGCGCACTGGCGACGCCCACCAGCCAATCAGCGTCCGTCTCTCCTGCACCTCGGGCCCACCCGTGTTTTTTACCGGTTTAAATCTCACTCTGGATTGGCTCTCGGGCGCGGTGGGTGGAGCCATTGGCACCCCCTTCCGGAGGCACCCACTGAACGGGTTAACTTTAAAACGAACAAGCTTTAAAATGGAGGCTGTGATTTACAGAGTTCGTGGCGGTGGCTCGGGGGGCGGCGGCTTGGGGCGTGTTGGCCAGGACCCGCCCACGCACCGCCCACAGCCACTCCTGCAGGTGCTGGAGTGTCCGTCAGGGCGTTCACACCTCCCCTGCCCCGCCCCCTTATGGTGACCTGAGGGGGGCACACCTGGCCCGCCACCACCACGCTGTTTACATATTCTTACTGTGCTCGACTCACTGTGTTGACTTCAAAGCATCACCTCATCTGCATCAACGCACCTCACCCCTCCCCCTCCCCCCCCCTCCCCCCCCATTATGCCAATTTCATTACTTGGTCAACACTGATCAAGGTGTTCTCAAACACTGCTGGAAAGTGAAAATAATACCGTGTGTGTGTGTACATGGTGAAAACACACACACACGCACACACACACACACACACACACACACACACACACACATCATACAATAAAGTTGATTTCAAAACATCAGCTCATTTGCATTACTGAGCAACAAATACCTTGAGGGTCATTTTTTATCGAGGGGTTGCAATCACAATGTCCTTGGAATTATATGTAAATATAATAAACACACACACACACACACACACACACACACATTCAGATATTTAGCAACACAATACAGCAAAAGTTTCAAAACATCGACCACAACACATCGTATGTAGTCCGTGTGTTATCAGACGTCCGTGATCAACGCGTCCTTGGAATTATATACATGTACAATAAATACTTGTGTCGTTGCATACTTAGCAATACATTAAACTCGGTCCTTATCTCACTGATCGATCATTTGTAACCCACCAGTACTACCTAAATATTTATATAAGCAGATGCCACCTTTGTTGAATATAATTAATCAATTACAGCTGAATCTACAACGACTAATATATACGAGTATATTTTGTGTTCAGTATTTTGACTCTGACTTTGAGATCACGATGTTGGCGAATATTGTTTAGGAAATAACAATTGAATCTCATATGATATTAAAAATAAGATAGGGTAATACGTCTACTACTACTACTATTACTACTACTGCCACTACTACTATTCTATACTACTACTACTACTACTACTATCAATAATGATAATAATAAAAATATCTGTAATAATGTGGGTAAAAATGAATTAATTTTTTTCTTTAGGTTGGCATTACTGTTGACTTCTCATGTACACTTCACCTCTATGGTAATCTCTCTTGAACAAAGGTTTGTTCTTCCCCACCTCCCCACCTCCCCTCTCCTCCCCTCTCCTCCCCAACCTTTCCTTTTAACTCCTCTTCCCCAACTTCTCTTCCCTCCCCCCCTCCCCACCTTCCTCACTCCCTTGCCAACACATTGCTATTCATATGCATTATGTATGAACTCAGGTTTGTGCTGTTTCTACAATCACTCAACAGGATTCTATAACAGTCAGCTCACTTACTGACTGGTGACAGACTCTCTTAAACTGGTTGAGTGGTGAATATTCCGGCGGATGAGTCTTGATATTTGGGTAGAGTTTCAGCACAGGTGGGTGGTGAGCCTTAACACGGCTGGGTGGTGAGCCTTAACACGGCTGAGTGGTGAGTCTTAACACGGTTGAGTGGTGTGTCTTAACACGGTTGAGTGGTGTGTCTTAACACGGTTGAGTGGTGAGTGTTAACACGGCTGAATGGTGAGACTTAACACAGTTGAGTGGCGATTCTTAATACGGCTGATTGGTGAGTCTTAACACGGTTGAGTAGTGAATCTACATAACACCATATTTTTTTTCAATTAGCCCCGTGGGGGGGGGGGGGACTAGTTTATTGGGCACCCCCTTGCATCCTGTGCAAAAGGTGAAGCGCAAAAGCGTTTAGAGCGCCCAACAGGGAAGCATGCGGAGTTCATGCAAGCCTTCTCGACTTAAGCATATATAGCCTTAAGTGCCTGAAGGGCCATCATAACTAAGTAACTTTTACTCATCCACGACCTTTGACCAAGGATGAGAGTAACCCATGTTGGTATCCTCACCCTGACTTGAACTGTACTAATAGTGGCCACCGCAGGTGACACGTGGCCTCTTACTTCGCAGTGACCAAGGATGACCTTTGACCTGATGGTTTACAATGACGTGAACTGAACCAGTCATATACCGTATATTAACAGTGGCGCTAATTACCACTGATTTGCGTTAACAGTGACGCAGTTGACCCCGTGACCTACGTTAACAGTGACGCAGTTGACTCTAACCTACGTTAATAGTGGCGCCGTTGACCTCTGACCGACGTTAACAGTGATGCAGTTGACCCCTGACCCCTTACAGTAATTCAACTTTGATGTCTGATCTTCCATCCAGTGATAACAAATTGCTTACCGCCCTGACGTGTAACCGTTTGATCTGGAGGCTGCCACACCATGAGCAGTCCTGAGATATCAACACACCGTCACTGCTCATCGTACGACGTGGTAGTATCATGAAGTAAACCCCAACATGTACGTCGGTCGCTCCATGAGGCACTTGCTCTACTCCCTGATTCATCCTATTCCTCCGTCGGTTCGCTAGGGGACAGCATGGCCGACAATGCACTCAGCCTCTTGACCTTCTCCAACCGTATAGTTAGGCACCTGGGTGGACTGATTTTGTCCGGGGATCGAACCAGCGAATCATAAGACAGGAGACGAGTGTTATATCCACTCTGCCGCCTCACCCTTAATGAACGCAAAATAATTTATAATATTTAACTTGACACATCGTCGACTGTATTACTCTGACAAAATTCTATACAACATATCAGCTGTTTTTGTCAAGTGTATTTTTGTTTTCGATTCATTGAATTTTCATTTGGTTTAATTGTTATCAACTGTTTTATATATTTTGTTATATATTATTTTATACTTATTTTTTTGTTTTAATGCCTTTTGTTTTGTTGTAATACCTTTTGTTTTGTTTTGTTTTAATACCTTTTGTTTTGTTTTGTTTTAATACCTTTTGTTTTGTTTTGTTTTAATACCTTTTGTTTTTGTTTTGTTTTTTCCGCCGTGTTTTGTGTCATGTTGGAGTCGTGTACTGTCATTGAGGTGGACCGTAGCGCATCACTTTTCCTCCTTAGTGTTGTATATCCGTAATGATCATTATAATAATGATCATAATAACTCATCATAAAACATAGCAGTAGAAAGCGAACGCCAGCCACTGTGTGTTATTTGTCAGCGCTGGCAGCTTGCTTGCTGGTTTGAAGTTGCTTGCCCTTACCGCCTGGATCGTTACGGCCGGAGCAACTTCATCTCTTGAGTGCTCATTCAGGGGGGAGGGGTTAGGTTAGGTTAGGTCAGGTTAGGTTAGGTTAGGTTTGAAATGACCCTTAATCACTGTTAACTGTTGCTACACAAAAACACAACACAAATTTTAAGATTAGTTTTGGATATTATTCCGGCGTTGGCGTGTTGACGTTATATTGTATATCTGCTCTTCGCCAACCATGATCCTTAAACTGTGTAATAGTATTCTAGGTTAGTACAGACAGTAGTCACCAACAATTAAAAATTCATGAGTTACATCACTCTTATTGTCTCACTTTAGTTCTTACGTTAGCGGAGGCAGAGGTTCTCCAGAGATACCGCTTCTATATATAGCTTCCGAGATTCGTTATGGGATAGTTATAATGTTATGATGGTGAGGGTGTCTAATTAAAATGACTCCATATACGAAGACATTAACCTCAAGGTAATTATGTTCTCGTTTTTTAAATAGAAGTTAACTGTGGTCTTATATTATGTTGGTTGCGAAAAACATGTGTGGAGAAACTTATATGGAAGTCTAATTGATATTAACACAATCTCAGTGTCGGCTGGTATAATCTTGTTACAGTGTTGAAATTCTAATGTTCCTCTAATTGTAAGTTTATTTGTTGCTGCTGCTGAACTTGTAGCTTGTAACTGTACTGGTATCTGTGCCTGTATTTGTACCTGTGTGTGTATTTGTACCTGTGTCTGTACTTGTACCTATGACTACCTGTACATGTGTCTGTACCTGTACCTGTGTCAGTACCTGTACCTGTACCTGTACCTGTGTCTGTCTCTGTGCCAACCGCCAGTTTTCGGGGCTGCGATAAATCCTACGCACTTTTCGCTCCAAAAATGACTCACATAAACTGGCCGCTGGAAACACACAAGGTCGAGGGTGTACGACTCTTTACCAACTAGACGACACCTTTTGTGCCAGTAGAATATAAACAAAGGAATTTTCGAAAGTCTTAAGTTGTAGAAAGTTGATAATGGGTAGTAATAACAGATCCCGCGAGAGAGAGTTACCGGGGTAGAATTTTTGCGCACTAAAGTTGTTGCCTGGAATAAATTTCGACACTTAAATGACCAGGGTCTTTCAGCACTGTTTGTAAATCTTAGTTTACATAATAGACAACGATTTTTTACATTATATTAAGGTCCTTAAGTGTTGATTAGTAGAGTACCTGTTGATGGAAATAATTAATTAGAGAACAGGGACAGGTACACACACACACACACACACACACACACACACACACACACACACATGGCCGCTATCCACGTCTCTAAACAGTGTAGCGGGAGGGAGGAGGGTTAGAATATCCACGATAAAAATAAAAATGAAAGAGAGGGAGAAAAACAAGAACCCGCATACACAGCCGTATACTGATGACGTCATACACACCTGCTACATAATTTGTATGACACAAGCTAGGCTGAATTATAC